AGATCAGCCCTGAGCTAACATCCATGCCAATCTTCCTCTTTTTGCTGAGGAAGACTGGCCCTGAGCTAACATCCGTGCCCATCTTCCTCCACTTTATGTGGGACGCCGCCACAGCATGGCCGGATAAGCGGTGCCTTGGTGCGTGCCCAGGGTTTGGAACCCCGGCCGCCAGCAGCAGAGCGCACGCACTTAACCACTATGCCTTGGGGCCAGGGCCGGCCCCCCAAAGCCTTCTTTTTTTAACGGCACAATATGTTTTGTGTTTGTGTATGGTAAATACACATAACATAAAATTCACCATTGTAACCATTTTAAAGTGTACAATTCAGGGGCATCAGGTACAATCACAGCGTTACGCCACTATCACCACTATCTAGTTATAGAACTTTCTCATCACCCCCAAATGAAAACCCAGTACCCATTTGCCTTTTTTGACGCCCTGCAGAGAGGCTCCAGGGTCATTTTTTCCAGCAGGTGGAATTGTGGCTGTTTGTGACACACACAGCATGAGCACTCCTGGCACAAAATGGTCTCCTTCCGCAGGTGTCCTCCACATCCTTACTTGTTAAACATTGCCCCTTTCTTGTTTCTTCTTAAAACTTAACCACTCCCTCCCCCGCGCCACCAGGACGTCTTCTGGTGACTTAAGTTTATACAATGATTTGATTTAGGAGAGACTTGTGTACCATAAGAGTTCTGGGCCTTATGGAGTGGCTCTGTAGGAGAGTTAAGGGCATGATGGGGGAGGGAGATCGGTCTTCGCTGATTTCAGTTTTGCTGGCCCACCTAGCTTGGCTCCTATATCCGTAGCGCTCTGTTTTCTCAGGATGGGGAAGCGGGAGACTCCAGTTGTAAGAGAATTAGGCATTGTTTTTTAACTTTCTCACCTTCCTGCACTCCTGTAAGATTTGGGCGAAGTTCACCACAGCAGAGTCTGTAATTCACAACCTGTAAGAGAAAAAGGAAGAAAAGCTGGCTCAGGACAGTGTCTTTACTGCACACCCACACACCATACTCTGTCGCGCACACTCCCCACCGGGTGACCATTGTGCCAAACCCATGTGAGAGAGAGGAGAGGAATAAAGGAGGAAGGGCAAGAAGAACAAAAAATACATCGACGTGGAAAGAGGAAGTTGGCGCAGGTGAGTAGCACTGGGCTGTAGCCTCGTTGATGTTGATGAGCTGATGGCAGCAGCGCTTCTGAACCCCCTCTGTGTGCTGGAGCTGAGAATGGAGGAGCAGGGTTGTGTGGGTGGCTGGATGGAGGAACCAGAAGGTGTGATCCCATGGTACTCACTAATATTGTGTGACCCCTTGGAAGTTCAACTTTTCTCCTAGTTTGGTTGTCCTGTCTCGCACACTAGTAGGCAGGCTCCTTGAGGGTGTGGCCATGGTCATCTGACCCTGCCTTGGCCCTCCTCCACTTCTTAGACACCCACTCCTCTTAGTGTTCAAGACAGCTGATGCCTGCCCAGAATGGTTGGGTCTCCCCTGGCTCTTCTCGATGTAAACTCTTCCTCTGTCTTCTCACTCCTCACCCTCACCTTCCCAAGGGCTGCAGCTCCAGGGCACGTGCAGAGCTCCCACCCCCTCCGCCTGGCCAGACCTCACTGGAGGCCACATCTGTATGGCCACCTGCCAATCAGTCTTCACACCTGGATGTTGCATGGCACCCTGAAGTTCACAGGTCTTAAAATGAACTCATGATCAGCCTGTAGGAGCATCTCTGAAAACATGTCAACAGCCATCATCTACCCAGTGTCTCAGCACAGTGGAGACTCCCAGAGTCCTCCTTCCTCCCTGCACACATGCAATTTTGGAAGTCTCCTCTGGAGTAGTCTCCTCTTTCTCCTTCCTCTCTCCTGCTGGATCAGCGCAGCCCTCTCCTGCCTCCTCTCAAACCCCCTCCACCAGTGCCTTCCAACGACTCCAAATCCCACTCTAAGGGACCCCCAAACCCCTCACTGGCTCCCACTCCCTGCGAAGTAAGGTCCGGCTCCTTAAGCTGAGTTGCAAGCCAATTCACGAATTTGGGGAAAGAATGGATTTCTCTGCTTAGGCCACTTGGGGAATAAACAGCCCAGCGCCCTGTAGGACCCCACTGTGGGTTTGCCTTCGGAGTCTGGACATGGTCAACCATTGGGAGAAGGTCCCGTCGTCGTGATGAGGGCCGGCTTTCCAAAGCCACCCCGCTCCCCTCCTCCCCCGCCCCAAACACAGCCATCAGAGGTTGCCGGACCAGCTTCTCGAAAGAGCCCTGGAGGGTTCGGGAAATCCTGCTACCTTTAGGACCTGGAGGATCTGAGTGTGTGGGGGTCACCCCTCCCCGCCCCCCGCGAAGTCGGCACCGGAACTGCTCTAATGGGAACCAGCAGACGGGCGCTCCGGGAGGGCTCGCGGCCCGGGGTGTGGGATTCCTGCAGAGACCTCAGCGGACGGTCAGAAGCCAGGGCCGAGCCGAGGGGGCGCGGGGGTGGGGGTGGCGGCTGAGAGATGCTGGCGCGGTGGGCGGGGGCCCCACACCCCCAGCACAAGAGCGGCGGGAGACCGGCGCCTAGGACCCCGCGGCCGCTCGAGGGGGTGAACCTGACCTCTCCCGGAAGCCCCACCGCCCCCCTCCGCTCGGGCTCGCACCCCGCCCCCACGCCCAGTCCTCCCCTTCCCCTGGTGGGACTTCTTTAGAAATCGGGTTGTGCGCGTGATTTCTCAGCGAGGGCGGAGTAAGGGAACTCTCCAACAAGGGGGACCGCCCCCAAGTCCCCCGAGAGCCCCTCTGGCAGGGTCCTTAGGGCTGGGAGCCTGGAAGGAGCAGACTTGTCCAGTGGTGGCGCGCAGCCGCCGGCCGGAGTGAGTTCCCGGTCGCGCACATCTCCCCCACTCAGACCCTTCTGTCCACCTCCTCCTCCCTTGTCCTGGCCTTTGGTCCCCATGGGGGTGGCAGAGGGCGGGAGCTCAGAGGTGCAGCCGGGGCAGCCGGGAGGGTCGCACGTGGAGCCGACCCCGGCCTCCCTGGGGCGGGCGCTGGGGCACCTGGCCGAGATCGGTCTGGAGGGACAGGGGGCGGGCGAGGAGAGGGGGGTGTTGCTGCGGGAGTTCGAGGTGGGGCTGGAGCGCAGGCCCGAGAAGTAGGAGGGGACAGGTTGAGGGGTGGTCTCTGAGGAGGAGCCAGGCTTGACCGTATTGTTCGACACTCCACAACCTCGAGCGTGCAGCGCAGGGCGGGGAGCGCGCGGGGCGCGGGGCGCTCGCCTCCCCTGGTTCTCCCTACCGCCTGCGCCCCGCGAAGAGACCCGGGCTTCCCAGCGTGCCTCTGCACGGCTCGCCCGGGCCGGGAGGGAGGGGCCTGCTCAGGTGGGGTGAGGGTCTTCCGAGGGGGCACGGGGAAAGGAGGCGGTCTGCGCTCGTGGGGCTGAGACTGCACCATTGGAGGGGGGTCCCCAGTGGGCCGACCCCCGCAGCGGCAGCCTCTGCTGGGTCAGCAGGCTGGGAGGTCGGGTGGGCAGCTGGAGGGAGGGTCCTCCACCTCACCCCCGCCGCGCCCCCTGTCCCTGCAGGAGCCTGGTGTCCCGGCCCCCCGCGATGGCCGCGGGACACAGCCGCAGGGAACAGCCGCGCGGATGCAGGGGCGCCCATCCCTAGCGGGGCGCAGCCTCCTCCTCGTCCTTCCCCCGACCGGCGGGATGGGGGGCGGAGGGTCGGCCCTGAGGGTCTGCGCCGACCACCGCGGGGGCATCAACTGGCTCAGCTTGAGCCCGGACGGGCAGCGTCTGCTGACGGGCAGCGAGGACGGCACAGCCAGGCTCTGGAGCACCGCGGACGGCCAGTGCTGCGCCCTTCTGCAAGGTAGACTCGCCTCACCGCGCCCTCCTGACCCTCTCGCTCTGTCCTCTTCCCCTCCCGCTCGCCGGCCTCAGGCCTCGGCTCTTCCGCCCGCAGACCCCTTCCCAAAAGTCCAGCCCCCGCCGCTCCCGGGGCACTCGTGGAAGAGCGCTCGCCCGGGCCGGCGCCGGACCAGCCAAGCGCGTGGGGTGGTGGTGCAGAGCGGGCTGCGTCGGGGTCAGTTGGCCGAGGGGCACCTGCTGCGAGGGGCGAAGATCACTTGTCAGCCCGCTGCATGAAATCATTTCCATTACAACCGTTTTAACAAACGAAAAGAAATGGCACCCAGAGCCCTTCAGCTGAGCGGCGCCTTCCCTTGTCTCTCACTGGCCGGGTGACCTTTGGCCGGACATTTCCTCTCTCCGGGCTGTTGTGGTAACAGCGGGGGCTTGTTAAGAGAGCTTGTTGAGTGCCGCCGTGCTGAGCACTACAGTGTGCAGTCCTCACACTGCTGTTATCCCGGTCGTGCAGACAGGGAAACTGAGGCAGGAAGTAAGTTGCCAGGGGTCACACAGCCCGGGGGGGGGGTAGAGTTGAAGTTTGAACCCTCCTCCCCCATCGGACCACCCTGCCCAGCTCTCGGCTCCTTCACTTCATCTGCTGTAAAATGATGGGGTGTGGGGGTGGGATTGATCAAAGGTTCTCAAAAGGGGGTTGTTAAGTTAATTTAGCAGATTTGGAAACACTGAAATAGCAGGAGGCACACGTAGTAGGCGTACCTGCGTCTTTTATAAAAGTTTTACAAATGCATACATACTGGTTTATATTTGCGTACTTACCCGAGGGAAGTGGGTGTAGTCTTACCCTGGGTCCCTGTCATGCGTCTGCCCTACGGGACTGAGGTTCCTCCAGCTCTGCCCCTGCTGTGGCCTGAGCAGCACGTACAGGCCCTGGATGAAGCGCAGGGCTTTCCACACTGTGCAGTTATTTATCTCTGCCTGGGTTTTCCACATAATCAGCAAATCCTGGGTGGCCTCCCCCAGGCCTCCCAGCTCATGTAGGCACAGGGAGTACAAATTAGCTTCAGTATTGGCTGATCCTGACCCTATTGGTTTTAAGTAAAAGCAGTTATGGTAGATATTTCAAAGCCCATTAGGGATGCATTTTGGATCGCCTGTTAATCAGAAGGTGGTGTGGATAATGGAGAGTTGACCACAAACTAACACATTTAACCCCCTCCCCCTGCAAAAAGAAGTCACGTACACTAACAGGCACTCAGCTGGGACTAGAAGATCTGAGATCTGTTCAGAATTTTAAATCTGACTTGTATTGCTTCCCAGAAATGAGACTTACATCTGGAGGGCTTTGAGATATGCAGGTTTCCAGGTCCCAGTTTCAGCAATCTCGTGGGGTAGGACTCTAGAATTGGCATTTCTTTTCTTTTTTTTTTTTTTTT